CGTCGTCGTCGTCCAATAAAGTACTGTCCAGTCCAGTCCAATCTAGTCTAGTCCAATCCAGTACTGTCTTGTTCAATCCAGTCCAGTCCAATGCAGTCCAGTCCCGTCCAGTCCGCACAGGCGGGGCGGCCACGAGGCGTCTGGCATTTCGGAGCAGCAGGTCGTACCTCCACCCCGGCCACTCGGCGCGCAGCTGCTGCACGAGCTCCAGCACCTCCTCCTGTTGGGAGAGCAGGGGGCGGCATAAACACGGACAATGATATTGCGGCGGGGCCGAAGGAGGAGAAAGGAGGCGGAGCAGCAGTGAACTTGGCGGAGTCTGCCGGCTCGTCGGCCGACCAGCTCAGACGTTGAGGCGGTCCTTCGCAATCCGCCGGGCCTTCTGGTGGTTTGTGTAGCACCCCGTGTCGCTGAAGTAGTGTTTCTTCATCCCGAGGAAGAAGTAGCATTACAGTACGATGCGCGTGGTAGCGGCCAGTAGCGAGCTCTGATGAGGATCACCTTCGTAGGACTCACCGACGCCCAGACGATGCAGGGGCTCAGGGTCAGGATGAAGGTGTGCACGCGGAAGTGCACTGGATGAAGAAGCCTCGGGGACTGCAGGTAGTGAGCGAAGGGGTCGGGTTCGCTGGGACCGCCGAAGGAAAGATACGACCGCACGGGCGAGACGCGCATTCGCTGTGACGTGTGCCATCCTCCAGCCAGAGTCCTCATCGTAATCCGCCTCCACGCAGGGGCAGCTTCTTTTCGAAGATCACGAAGTCGTTCCCAGCGCCCCTGAAAAAGATGAACAGGCACTTGAATTCGGAACCAAGCCAGCAGGCTCTTGGCGATCGCGACAGCAAATGAGTCGACATGCCAGCGGACAGCCAGCTGCCGAATGAACACCCGCTGGGGCTTTGGCCGAAGTCCAGCGTCTTGGGCACCACTGGCTGTGGTATGCGCAGCTTCGGCGGCTGCTCGGAGGTCGTGCTGCCTTCACGACGGTACCTGGGCATGAAGGCCATGCGCGACCCTGAAGTGGCGCTGGACGATCGCCGACGGGTCCTTCCAGAACGAGGGTGACCACCGCCCGGCGGACCAGTCCACGAGCCTTCGTTGACGGCGTGCCGTCTCCTCGAGCTTGCGGTAGAGCGGGAGCCAGTGCGTAATCGTGGAGGGCGCCACTCGACTCGCCACAGGGTACCAATCGAGAACGCGAGCAAGGATCGCGGTGCCGCTCCCGGGCACCAGCTGCTAGTCGAAGTGATGCTGTGCTTCCTGAAGGTGCTCGGCGGCATGCGCAAGATCATGTGGAGCGCATAGAACACCTTCGAGAGGACAGACTTGGGCAGCTCAAGAAACTGGGCCAGGTACCCAAGGAAACTCATCGCGGACGTCTGGCAGAGGCGGGTGTTCGTGTCGATGGGCGAATCCGACGCGCCAATGGCAACCACTCTGGACCACCACTGAGCCCTCGCGTCGACCCATTGCTGCTCAGGTAGGGCATCTGGGCCACCATCACTCCCAAATGTTTGCTGTGTGTCCTCCGTCGTGAAGCCCGTCCAGGCCAGCACCTCCTGACGGAGGAAACCGCTGACGAAACGGTGAACTTATGGATCAACTACCGACCAGAGCGGGATGAAGACGCATTTCTCGACATTGAGGTTCGTGTGGCTGGGTGACGCGGCATGTCCGAAAACATCCGCGACTGATGGAAGCAGAGAGCAGAGAGATGCGAATTGGAAGCACTGCTAGGTCATCGGCACACATTCCAGCCAGACCGTAATCAGCTTCAGGAACAGCGTCTGCAGCAGCACGCATGATGACATCCATCGCGGCGGCCCATATCGTCCCTGACAAAGGACAACCCTGCGCAACCCCAGCATCTATCGGGAATAAGTCATGAATACGAATGTCAAGCTTGATCAAGCGGACCGAGTCCTGGCAGAGCGCGTCCACGGCATTGAGCACCGCGAGCAGCATCCCACAGCGCTGGAGCATATAGACGGGCCACCGCCTCCCCAAACTCGGGAAGGCCACCGACATGCCGAACAACAGCGGAGGGGGCTTCTCGCTGGAAGCCGCGTCGGACAACCCCGGCATGCCGTGCTTCAGCGTCCAGCCGAACGATGTTGCTGCAGGAGTTGCGCCCTCGGACGAATCCCTGCTGGATAGGACATGCAAACTGCTCGACCTGCCTGCGGACAATGCGGCTAACCGATGCGGCGAAGATCTTTGAGTCGGTGTTCTTGCGCGTGATGGGACACAGATTACCCGCCGCCCCAGAGCATGCGTGAGTGCCTGCTTCCGCCGTGCCCTTCGGGATGAAGGAGAAGATAGCGGGCGGACGCGTGCAAGACGACGACGCTGCAGTGCAGAGAGGAGGGAGAGGAGGAGGAGGAGGAGGAGGAGGAGGAGGAGGAGGAGGAGGAGGAGGAGGAGGAGGAGAAGGCGGAGGACGAGCAGGAGGAGGAGGAGGAGGAGGAGGAAGGAGGAGGAGGGGGAGGAGGGAGGAGGAGGAACCTGTCTCGCAGCAGTGCTACGTCAGCTCCTCCCCAACCTCGATTGCCCCTGGAGTCACTGCCCAGGCCGCGTACGGCGGCATGTCAGGACCAGGGGCGGACGCCCCAGCATGTAACAGGCCGCCTGACCTATATTGCAGCAGTCGTCGGGATCGAGACATCGAGCGATGTAATGTCCGCAGGAGAAAGGGGGCGGAGGAGGGAGGAGGGGAGGGAGAGAAGGGGAGGAGAGGAGAAGGAGGAGGAGGAGTAGGAAGAGGCGAAACAAATTGAGGGAGGAGAGGAAAGATGAGAAGGAGGAGAATGAGGAGAGAGGGAGGAGGATGTAGGAGGGGGTGGGAGGAGGAGGACGGTAGGAGTACGAGGAGAGGAGGGGACGACGAGGAGGGAGGAGGGAGTAGGAAGGAGGCGGAGAGGAGGGAGGAGGAGGATGGGGAGGAGGAGGAGGAGGAGGCGGAGGAGGGAGAAGGAGGATAAAGAGGAGGATGAGGCAGAGGAGGAGGAGGGATTAGGAGGAGGGGGGAGGAAGGAGGAGCAAGATGAGGCGGACCGAGCTTTAGGAGGAGGAGAAGGAGGGAGGAGGGAGGAGGGAGGAGGAGGAGGAGGAGGAGGATGCGGAGGAGGAGGAGGAGGAGGATGCGGAGGAGGAGGAGGAGGAGTGAGGGCCAACGATAGGGAGGGACTGGCCCAGGAGGGGGGGGGCATCGAGCTGGAATCGGCGATACATCACCGACAGCTCGGCGATAGGCGGCAGCCGATCGGCGAATTGGCACGTTCCTGGGCGGGGTGGGGCTATCGGGCCCCCGTCGGCGCTGAATGGGCGATTGGGGGTGGGTACACTATCTCCCTGCTCCTCCTCCATGTTAAAGATCACCGTCCTCACTATTGTTTGGAAATAGGGGGAAAAAGATGGAAAAAGGTAGAAATCTTGCGGGGTCGGCGGCAAGCTGGTCATATGGGGCGCGGCCGCGCGGCCGCAAGAAACCCGTCCATCTCGTCGGCAGGGACCAGCGCCTGGCGGCGCAGACGGGGAGACAGGAAGGGAGAGCGGAGTCAAGGGAAGAACCATGAGCGAAATATGGGGAGGAGGGGCGGAGGGGGCAAGAGAAGGGCAAGAGAAGGGAAAGGAGGGGCAAGAAAAGGGGCATGAGAAGGGAAAGGAACGAGAGCGGGCCTCTCCGAGGCGGTGGGGGGCAGGAAAGGGCGGGAAGGATCATGGAAAAGAAGGGGGGGAAGTATGGGGCGAGAAGTGGGCGAGGGGGGGAAGGAAGCACGGGGGAGGACTGCAGTCATCGCACCCCCCCACCCACACATGCACCCACACACACGCACACAAAGAACGCAGAACTGCGATCGAATTGGGTGCTCTGGCCACGGAGGGCCTGGATCACAGGCAGGTTCCATCACATAAATCGAAAGAGTGGTCCTTATTTCAGCGTCTTGATTGCGCAGTGCGCGCGGCCATTTCACGTGTCCAGCGCCCCGCGCTGGCGCAACTGTTGCTCGAATCATGTCTTCGCTGCGCGCGATACGCTCGCGCGAAAATGGGGCGACGGGCCGCGAGGGGAGGATGGGAAGGAGGAGTCGGAAACGAGGAGGGAACGGATGAGGATGAAAAGGAGGAGGGCGAGGGGGAGGAGGAGGAGGAGGAGGAGGAGGAGGAGGAGGAGGAGGAGAGGAGAAGTCCGGAAGATGAAGGTCACGATGAGGAGGGGAAGAAAAGATGAGGCGGATGAAAGGATTAGGATGGGGAGTAGGAGGAAGAAGGAGGAGGAGGAGGAAGAAGGAGGAGAGGGGAATGAGGAGAGGAGTGAGTATGGAATGAGGAGGAGGAGGAGGAGGAGGAGGAGGGAAAGGGAGGAAAGAAGGAGGCAGGTTTAGAGGAGGAGGAGGAGTGGGGGCGAGCGAGAGGCTCACAAACCACCTGCCCCGAAGCCTGAGGGGGAGAGGCGGGAAAGGTTACTCGCCCTGGCGGCCCGCGCGAGCGCAGCCGCTGCCCTAGCTTGCCGCTCGCAGTCGCCGCCGCCCACCGAAGAAGGGCGCGTGGGACGAGGGAGGCGGGGGGGGCGCCGACGCGGGCGATGGGGGAACGGATAACGGCGATGGCAATGCCGCGCGCATCGGGCACGAGGGGGGCGAACACGAGAACGAATGCTGGGGGGGCGGACTACTGCGCATGCGGACGACTCACGATAATGAACATGAGGACTGATGACGAGGACGAGGACGAGGATGGGGATGATGAGGACGAGGGCGAGGATGGGGATGAAGGCCACCCCGCGACTCGTCTCAGCCGCCTTCCTGGCATCCCCCCCCCCCTCCACATCCACCCGCCACTCGACTCCCTGATCACCGCGTGTTCATCACGCCCTCCACTGCCCTCCACCCCATCCTGTCCTCCGCCCTCCAGCCCGCCAGGTCGGCGGGCGCGCGGCGCAGACGCCGCCCCCCTCACGCTGCTCAGCTGCCGAAGCCGAGCTTCTTCTGGCCGCGGGCCTCGCCAGCCTTCTTCAAGGCCTTTTGCTTGGGTCCTGCCTTCGCCTTCTCGTCGGCAGAGCGCTTGGTCGCCAGCGTCGCCTGGCTCTGGCGCTCCTCCTCAGCCTGCTTGGCCAGGCGCTTCTCCTCCTCAGCCTGCTTGGCCTGGCGCTTCGCCTCCTCAGCCTGCTTGGCCTGGCGCTCCTCATCCTCAGCCTGCTTGGCCTTGCGCTCCTCCCCAGCCTGCTTGGCCAGGCGCTCCTCCTCAGCCTGCTTGGCCAGGCGCTCCTCCGCGGCCTGCTTGGCCTGGCGCTGCTCCTCAGCTTGCTTGGCCTGGCGCGTCTCCTCCTCCGCCTGCTTGGCCTGGCGCTCCTCCTCTGCCTGCTTGGCCTGGCGCTTCTCCTCCTCAGCCTTCTTGGCCTGGCGCTCCTCATATTCCTGCTTGGCCTGGCGCTCCTCCTCAGCCTGCTTGGCCTGGAGCTGTTCCTCCTCCTCAGCCTGCTTGTCCATGCGCTGCCCATCCTCAACCTGCTTGGCCTGGCGCTCGTCCTCAGGATCCTCAGCCTGCTTGGCCTGGCGTTCCTCGTCCTCCCCAGCCTGCTTGGCCTGGGGCCCCTCCGCGGCCTGCTTGGCCTGGCGCTCCTCCTCAGCCTGCGTGACATGCTGCCCCCCCTCAGCATGATTGGCCAGGCGCGCATCCTCAGCCGTCTTGGCCAGGCGCTCCTCCCCCTGCTCTGCAGTCTGCGTGGCATGGCGCTCATCCTCAACCTGCTTGGTCTGGCGTTCCTTTTCCTCCCCAGCCTGCTTGGCCAGGCGCTTCTCCTCCTCAGCGTGCCTGGCCTGGCGCTCCTCCTCAGCCTGCTTGGCCAGGCGCTCCTCCTCAGACTGCTTGGCCTGGCGCTTCTCTTCCTCAGCCTGCTTAGCCTGGCGCTCCTCCTCTGCCTGCTTGGTCTGGCGCTCCTCATCAGCCTGCTTGGCCAGGCGCTCCTCCTCTGCCTGCTTGGCCTGGCGCTTCTCCTCCTCAGCCTGCTTGGCCTGGCGTTCCTCCTCAGCCTGCTTGGCCTGGCGCTCCGCCTCAGCCTGCTTGGCCAGGCGCTCCTCCTTTTCCTGCTTGGCCTGGCGCTTCTCCTCCTACAAAAAAAAAAAAAAAGCCTGCTTTGGCCAGGCGCTGTCCTACCTCAGCACCTGGCTTGGCCAGCGCTCCTCCTCAGCCTGCTTGCCAGCGCTCCCCCTCATCACCTTCTTGGCTCAGCGCTCCTCCTCCTCAGCCTGCTTGCTTTGGCCTGGCGCTCCTCCTCACCTGCTTGGCCTGGCGCTCCTCCTCATCCTGCTTGCCAGGCGCTCCTCCTCAGCCTTCTGGCAGGCGCATCCTCCTCAGCCTGCTCTTGGCTGGCGCTCCGCCTCAGCCTGCTTGGCCAGGCGCTCCTTCCTCTCCTCGCCTGCTTGGCCGTGGGCTCCTCCTACAGCCTTCTTGGCTTGGGCGCTGCTCCAGCAGCCTGGTTGGCCATGGCGGTCCGCCTCAGCTGCTTGGCCAGGCTCATCCTCCTCAGCCCTGCTTGGCCTGGCGCTTCTCCTCCTCAGCCTGCTTGGCCTGGCGCTCCTCATCCTCAGCCTGCTTGGCCTTGCGCTCCTCCTCAGCCTGCTTGGCCGGGCGCTCCTCCTCAGCCTGCTTGGCCAGGCGCTCATCCTCTTCCTGCTTGGCCTGGCGCTCCTCCTCAGCCTGCTTGGCCAGGCGTTCCTCCTCCTCAGCCTTCTTGGCCTGGCGCTCCTCCTCAGCCTTCTTGGCCAGGCGCTCCTCCTCAGCCTGCTTGGTCAGGCGTTCCTCCTCCTCCGCCTTCTTGGCCTGGCGCTCCTCCTCAGCCTGCTTGGCCTGGCGCTCCTCCTCTGCGTTCGTCTCTGCGTGCTCCTGCTTCGTCTTGTCGCCGCCCGGCGCGAGCATGGCGGCCACGCCGTTGTTGCCCAGGTCAATCTGGTTGCGCTCATTCTGGTTCAGCGGCCTGGCGAGCTTGAGAGCGACCACGCGCCGCAACGCCTGCAAGTGCGACATCTCGGCCACCTCTCACGGGCCGAGCGCGACAGCGAGCGCGTGCTATGGAAGCCATGGACCATGACACGCCGCCACGCCGCGCATGCTCAGCACACCGCGCAGGACCACGAGTGTAAACACACAGTGCAGGGCGCGACGGCGGCGCGACGCGCGAGGGATGATGCGTGCGCAAGATACAGAATGTCAGAACTAGGTGACACACGTCGGGGGCCGAGGGTGAGACTCGGGTGGGCGGGGGAGGGGCGCCGCCTGCAAGGAGGTCGGCGGCGTCGGCGGAGGGGGAAGGATTCGGCGACATGCACCATGGGACGGACTGAAACCATATACAACGGCAAATTGAGGAAGGGCTGCGAGGGGAGGGGGGAAGGGGGGTGGGCGCCAGAACCCTGCGCGCCTCGGGGATCGCCACGAGCACGTCGAGGCTCGACGAGAGGTGCCCCAGCGGCTTCCCCACCCTGATGTTGCCGATCGACTGCCTTGCAGCGCGCTCCAGTGACGCGCGGGCGCGAGCCCAGCCAATGGCACAACGCTCTACTGGCGCACGTGTGGCCCGCTGATCTAGCGCGCCCATCTCTCCATCTGATCTCTCTTTTTCTATCGCTCTCTCCCTCTCTCTATACATATATATATATATATATGTATATTCCCCATCCGTCTGGCTTCGGTCCCACCTCTCTCTCTACCCCTCTCTCCCTATCGCTGGTTGATTGTCACTCTCTTTCTCTCTCGCTCTCTCACTCTCTCTCTCTCTTTCGCTCTCGCTCTCTCTCTCTCTCTCTCTCTCGCTCTCTCTCTCTCTCTCTCTCTCTCTCTCTCTCTCTCTCTCCCCTTGTGCCCCCATACAAACACATCACTCGCCACATCCCCCCTCCATTCCCCCTCGACACATTGCCACGCCACTGACAGGGGCGATCGACGTGGCGCCATGCAAACCACAGTCGATCGAACGGCCGTCAACCCGGGCCCATGTGATCTCGCACGCGCCAGCGAAGAATAAAACATGCGTCCTGATGCCGTAACAATCGCTCTGCGCCTTCTCGGCGATCAGGAACCCACACGGCACATACATCACCTTGCAGCAAATGGAAGAGGGGGCGGGCGGGCAAGGTCCACAGCGGCGACCCTCAAACCAACTGCTAACCATATGTGGCACGAGACCTCGGGGGTCTGGACCTAATGGGGCACCCGAGGACCTGACAGCGGTCGCACCGCCCACCCCCAGACGTTGTTCCTGCGCAATTCTGGGGCGTGCGATGGCCCCTGGGGCCCACGGGCTAGGTTGGGCTTGCAAACGCCGTGCTACCATGGTGAACGCAGAGCAACAATAACTGACAAGCTAGTCTGGCCACGGCGGGACTACGACACGAACGCGTTCGATGTCGAACATCTAAGGGCTAGCCCGAAACACGCCAGCCCTTCCTGAGATGAGGGGGGCACTGATTTCAGCGGCATGGCTACACAGCGTTACACGATGCGCCCCAAGGAGGTGTCCGAAGGCCACAGAGTGAGCAACAATATGACAGATTGATGCCATCTACCCGTATCCCGCCCGACCTCGTTCTCTCTCTACCTCTCTCTTCCGATTTCTCTCTCTCTCTCTCTCTTTCTCCCTCCCTCTTTCTCCTTCTGCTGCTCGTGCTCTCGCCGTCTCTATCTCTCTCTCGCTCTCTCTCTCTCTCTCGCTCTCTCGCTGTCTCTCTTGGGCTGTTCGGCTCTCCCTCTCTCGCCTTCTCTCGCTATCTCTCTCTCGCTCTCTCTCTCTCTCTCTCTCTCTCTCTCCCCCCTCTCTCTCTCTCGCTCGCCCCCCATCGCTCTGTGCGTGGTTAGCTCCATATCCCTCTCTCGCTCTTTCCCCCCAACCTGTTCTCTCTTTCGCTCTCTCCCCAGCCCTGTCTAGTATCTCTCTCCCTCTCGTTCTCTCGTTCTGTCTCGTTCTCTATACATCGCTCTCCTCGCTATCCCCCTCTCTCACCACCTCTCTCTCAGTATCTCCGTTTCGCTCTCTCTCTCTCTCTCTCTCTCTTTTTCTCTCGTTCTCTCGCTCGGGCTATCCCGTTCACTGTTTATCCCTCTCCCCCTCTCGCGGTCTCGTTCGTTCTCTCTCTCTCTCTCTCTCGTTCTCTCGCTCCTCGGTCGCTCTCGTTCCCTCTTGTTCTCTACCGCTCCCTCTCTCTCTCTCTGTCGCTCTCGCTCTCTCTCGCTCTCTCTCTCTCTCTATCTCTCTATCTCTCTCCCCCCTTTCATGTCATATATCTTGTGTCATATCTCTCTATGTGTCTCCCTCGCTCCCTCTTTCTCTCTCTCTCTCACTCTCCCCATCCCTCCCCCCGCTCTATGTCTCAGGCACAATGCGAGAACGTCATGTCCCCAACTCTTGCCTGCCTTGAGGCCGAGGTGCAATGCCTCCAACTATTGCCTATCGTGTGGCGCCCGCGCGCGGAATGTCCGCTGCGTCATTCCCAACGGGGGTTCCAAGCGCGGGGGCAGACGCGTCGATGGAGGCAGACTGATGGGGTGGCGTGTCATATGGAAAATTATGTGACCGAATGGGCGACACCGCTCGCCGCGACGTCTGCCGAACAACGCTGACGAGACCTTCGAGGTGGCATAAACAGTCGGACGGCCAACGTCTTTGAGGACTACCACCAGCAGTGCCAACCCTCTCACATACATTCACAACATTGTGTGTCTATATGTACGCATGTATGTGCTATATGCGTAATGTAGTACTGCAACTACGCCCCACTGGTACCTGGACAGCTGTCTGCCTCTCTCCTTCTCTCTCCCTCTCTCTCGCTCTCCTCCCCCCTCCCCGCCCCATCTCCCAAACAGTCGCGGGGAACGAACGGGAGTGCCGAGCGATGACGCCCGCCCAGCTGCCCTGTCCAACCGACGATGGCGGCTGGAGGCAGTGGTAGACAGGGAAATCGAACACGGCGGAGTCGAAGTCCTCGATTGCCTGGAACAGGTCTATGAGCTGGGCCATGGTCCTCGGAGTGTCGTCTGGGCCGTGCTTGCCGATGAAGTTCGCCCAGTCCTCGCATGGGGCGCGGGATGGGGGGGGGGCGGGCTGCGAGTCTGGGAAGGGCGCCAGGGAGAGGGAGCGAGAAGTCTGGCGGCGCAGTCGGGGTGCAAACAAACGTTGCTTGACACTGTGCGACGGACACACGTTGGTTGGCATGGCACTGCATGCTCCTGAACGGCACGTGGGCAATGCACCACAGCACATGCACATGCAACTTCACCAATGTCCCTGTTCGGGCTCCCACTACGGGAGAACAACGCGCGTCCTCAACCCTGATCAAGATCATCTCGCGGCAGCCCGCGGCCTGATACCTCACAGTCGGCAGCATCGCCTGCTCGTGGCCTCCGTACACGTTCCCCGAGCTGCAGAAGTAGAGGTACACATTGGACACCAGGGTCTGCAGCTGCTTCGGCGCATCTAGGGGGCGATGGATTTGACGCGCGGGCGGCAGCGTCGCAGCCAATATCATGTGGCCAAGGCTGCCATGCCCATGCCTACCCCCCACACAAACAACCAAACATGCGATTGAACACAATCGACACTGACATGGCGCGGACAGATGCACGAAACAACAACGAACAACATACCCGCCATTCGGAAGACGTGCGTGGAAACGTCGAGGGAGGCAGACCCCGCATATTGGGTTCGGGCCTCTGGTTTTCCGAACCGCACACAGCAACTACAAACACCCGCAGACCCCCCGTTTTCCGAACCGCACACAGCAACTACAAACACCCGCAGACCCCCCATAAACCTGTGGTACCCCCATAAAGAAGTGACATCTATGGCCCCCTTATGGGCAGAGAGCGACAGCACACAAACTCAAACGCAGCATTGAAGTAGGAAGGCGCTTGGCCTGTATTGGGATCTTGGAATCCAGAAATACATGCCTTCATCGACTAGCGCGCACCCGTTGGACCCGACCACCCCAGCCCCCCGAGGCCGCCTTCAACCCATTGCTCGGTCCAGCCGACGAAGGAATGGAAGATGTCGGCGAGATCCTTCGCCGCTGCCTCCCGCGCCACGTGGTACTGCACGCGCCCGATCCCGAGCTGCTCCTTCTTCTGGCCCTGCCACGCCTTCAAGAGCTTCGGACCTTCCTCACCAGAGATCCTGCCGATGATGCTGCAGCGGCTGTCCTGCCGCTCTCGCTGACTGGCGCAGGGACTCCGCGAGGCGATGACAGCGAGATGAGCGGCGGCGGGCGTGTGTGTGTGTGTGTGTTTGTGTGTGCGTGCGCGCGTGTGTGTGTGTGCGTGTGTGTGGGGGGGGGGTGCGTGTGTGTGCATGTGTGTGCGTGTGTGCGTGTGTGTGTGTGTGCGTGTGTGCGTGAATGCGCGTGTGTGCGTGTGCGGGCGTGTGCGTGCGCAGTGTGAGTGAGTGAGCGAGTGTGCGTGTGTGTGCGCGTGCGTGCGCGTGTGCGTGCGTGTGTATGCGTTGGGGAGGGTGAGGGCGGAGGGATGGCTGCCCCGTTGCGTCCAAAGGCGCGCGCGCGATAGTGTGCCAGCGCCGACGGTGCGGACTGCGATAACGACAGGCGTCGGGGCAGATGCGTGGCTGGGGGGGCTAGGGCAAGGATTATTGTTGAGCTAAGGGTCAGTGGGGACAATACTGCTACTGGAGGGAGCGCGGGCGAGAGGGGCAGGTGGGGGGAGGAGAAGTGCGGCATGTTGATGGCGATGGGGTGCGCCGTGGGAACGGCGGAGATGGTCTAACCGCACCCTGTCTTCGTTCATACAACCATTCGCCCAACCACCCCATCCCAACTCTCTCATTCCCCTCCCCTCGTCGCTCACCCGCCTAGCCGCAACCCCCGTGC